TAACCCCCATCACCACAATGACTGCTATGAAACAAGGTGACAGCAGCATCCTATGCCAAAAGACTCACAGCTGTAGCTGGAGGGAAGAGCAGCAGCTTTGCAAATTGTCTAATCTGGGACGCTAAGCAAAAAACATTATGAACTGCATAATGTATCCTACCAACTTAGTTCTGTTCTGCTTTGTGTCGCTCTATGATCTAAGTTTGTGGTTTTAAAACAGCAAAATATGGGAAAGTTTTAGCTGTATGATGGAGATTTCTAAACCAAAGCACTATATGATCTAAAGATATTGTAAATGATGAGTAAAAGACATTAAATCAGCTTTGAGATCTGAAACAACATCAGATCTAAACCAGATGATAGGACAAACACTCACCATCGCTGTCTTTCTGGCTGATGTTACCATGGACACGGACTTTGTGAGGGGAAGGGTCATCGACGGACAGCTGCTTCTTAGCGGCCGATGCCGCCTTAATTTCTGAGCCATGAAACACAAAGTTTACAACAGATCAGCTGCACGGCAGAGTTAAAGAGCAGACAAACAGGTACAAAGGTAGGCGGTGATGATGAATCTGGAAACAGGAACGATCACACATGTTCACAAGTCATTTTTTGCAAGTCCAAGTCAAGTCTCAACTCTTGAGAGCTCAAGTCCAAGTTAAGTCTCAAGTCTTGAGAGCACAAGTCCAAGTCAAGTCTCAAGTCTTGAGAAGGCCTGTCGCAATAATCAATTAATCGCACAAAAAATTCTAATCACTTGATTAATTTAAAAAAGTGCAATAATTTTCGTGCTTGGTTGTTTCTCCTTGTGTTTTCATCTCCGTCACTGAGACGGTGTAGCTTAAAGGTCGCTATTATATCTATGGATTTATCATTATCTTGAACTGCTAAATGAAAAATACAATTAAAAAAAGCACACGCAAAATTTTTTTCCAGATAAATTTTGCATTTTCTTACAGTATTTACCTGACATTTGTGGTTACAACTTTTTCTAGTTTTAGCAGTAAATGTCTGCTCTTTTATTGAAAATGAGGACTGTGGAAAAAAAAACAATCACAATCCTGCCGTCCACGTACTGTTGCGTCAGTGACGTCAGTGTGTTGCACAGGGAAAAATATGATTTATGGTTTTCTTTCATTTTAATGTTAGTTTTATGCTTTGCATGTTTGGAGAGAAAGATATGATTTTGCCGGGGGGAGAGGCAGGCGGGATCCGTGCGCACAGATGGCCCAGTAAGGAGTATTAGGGCAGAGGAGGAACCTTGCCTGTAAGTAGCGCTCCCCCTCGCTTAAAGCATAAACAGGAATATATCTTCCGACGGGGTTTTGGCGCGTGGATGCTGGCGTTCTCCTTGCTTCTCTTTTTAGCTGGATCGGTCTGGAAAGGGTTGTGGCACGCCAGGGAGTGGAACAATGCTGGAGCGCCGCAGAGTCTGTGGATCAGCCAGTGGGTGCTCCAGGCCGATCACTCGCACCAGAAGCAGCATAACAAGCGGAGCCCAACTTCCAGCCTCTGTTTTTTAAGGAAAACTCTTGAATTTTAGGTTTTATCAGGAGAAGAAAAGGACTGTTTTATTATGCCACTTTTGCTATGGCTTTTTGTATAAATAAAACACTTGAACTTGAGTGCTTCACGGTTTGGGTCTTTGAGTTTTCTTCTGTGTGCGGGTAAGGCGAGCGGCGATCAGTCAAGTTAGTAAAACAAAAAACACTTGAATAAGTGTTTTTACACTGGAATAAAATATTGTTCACAAGTCGGAAATCACGAGTCTCAGTCGAGTCTGAAGTCCTTTAAATGCAAGTCTAAGTCGAGTCTGAAGTCATTAAATATGCGACTCGAGTTCGAGTCACAAACTCGAGTCCCCATCTCTGGGAACGATAATCAAAAAAGGGAAACTGCATGTTTGATTTGTGACAGACAATAAAGATTAATAATTCTCACTAAAGGTTCTCCACCTTGTTTAGAAAATCTACTTCTGTTTAGATTAATTCCTCTACATTGCAAAAATTATCTATGAATAAATAAAAAATTCATGTCTAAAGTGTATTTCCCCCTCATTTTAGTAGATAAAAAAGATGATTTGCCAATGGAATGAGTATTTTAACTCTTAAAATAGGATAATTACATAATATGCACTTGCAATAAGACAATACATTTGTTTGTTTTTATATTAAGTGTAAATTGTCTACTTCCAATGGCAAAGTGGCTCAATTACCTCCTCAGTTCAAGAAAAAATGCACTTATTTTGAGAAAAAAAAATTTGATTTCAATGTTTCAATCTGAGTTGTTGGGTGTTGCGTCCGTCTGTTTTTCTGCGGACCTGTACATGAGGTCTGCCGTCGTCCTTCCGCTCCTCTTGCTCCTCCGTCAGAGACACCAGGGAACCTCTATCATCACTGTTCTGTCGGGGCATCCTCGAATGCTCCAGGATGCAGGGCTCTTGGATGGTGGAGCCTCTCAGCTCTTCCTGGATCCCACTGAGCCCTTCCAAGCTGTAGCTGCAGACAAACAGTAAAGCATAAAACTGTGCTGAAGACATCCTCCCAAAGCTCCATCTGAACTATTTGTCACATTTTTCTGGACTAGTACAATTGTTTGCTGCAACGAGATACACCATAATGCATGCACACACCTGTTGGAAGACACACACGCTCACACTCACAAAGCTAGCTCTGCACAGTGTTTAGTCAGCTGAGTTATCACTGGCCCCTGAAGCAGATTTACAACTGAAGCAGCTGCAAATAACTTCCAACATCAGCATCAGCACAGAGAGCCCCGCCATCTGTGATTTACAATCCCAATTACACCGATCTATGACTGGGAATAAGAGGCCCTGAAAAATCCAAAGCAATGATCATGGCGAGGAAAACTACAGCTACATTTCAGAATGAGCTATGCTAGCAAGCTGCAGCTCAGTCTGCTCCAGGACGGGCTCCCCGACGCTTGGAGGCTCCCGCAGTAAATCTGTCCTTTCTTTCTCCGGCCTCTGGGGTAGTTTAGCTCCAAAGTTATCCAGCAAATCATCAGTCCAACACTTTCAAGCATCACTAACTGAGGCCGAGCTAAAAGAATCATCATCAGTGACCAGCCTGCCGCGGCACTCAGCAATCCTTAAGGCAGGCGGCTGTATGTGTCATATTAAAACCTCCTCTTGGCGCTACGCACTCACCCTGCAGGGCCACCGTATGAATGCTATAATATTGCTGTGAATTTATTTCAGTCTAGTCTTATTTAGCTTAATTAGCCACAGACCAACATAGATAAGGTCATTTCTAACTTTTAACCCGTTCAAACTCTATTATAAAGTATTGTTGAAGCTCCTATTTATTCAGTTCTGATCATATTTTTTTTCTTTTTCACTGTTAAAATCACAGCTGAGGTCATGTCAGGTGTTACCATGGTGCCTTAAAAACAGTTACAGTAAGAACTGGACGGGAGGGCCCCACATGGCTCACACTAGAGACAAGGGAGTGTGTAAAGGAGGGACTACAGAAAGAATGCATTTGGAAAATTGAAGGACCCCATAAGGACATGACTGGAAACATGACGGTGTGTGTGACATTACCTGGTCTTTACCACTCAATAGCTTCACCTGATAACTTTCAAGTCATGCAAGCATTGAGCCACTTTAATAATAGAACACCATAGCATACAAGTCAGCATAGATGAATGTGTTTAAATGTACTTTTACCTGTGTGCAGGGATCATCTGGGATTGGTCCATCATTTAACGTCATAGGAACAGGGCTGGTCTCATTCTCAACTGCTGCTGCAGGAGTCTGAAGGCCTTTCACCTGAAATATAGAAGGACAAGAATGGATTTAGAACTGAATGAAGAGACATTCACAGGCAAATAAGATCATCTAGCGGTCAAACATTTCTGAAACAGCACAGTGCTTCAACCAAGAGCACAGCATGGTCTTTAGGACTCATCAGCAGCTATTATGATCGGATCAATGCAAAGATTGTGTTTAAAGATGCTACAGCTCAGCGAGTGCACAATGATGAATGTTAAAATCACAGCTGAGGTCATGTCAGGTGTTGCCATGGTGCCTTAAAAACAGTTACAGTAAGAACTGGACGGGAGGGCCCCACATGGCTCACACTAGAGACAAGGGAGTGTGTAAAGGAGGGACTACAGAAAGAATGCATTTGGAAAATTGAAGGACCCCATAAGGACATGACTGGAAACATGACGGTGTGTGTGACATTACCTGGTCTTTACCACTCAATAGCTTTTCTTCTGTTGCTGCAGGAGCTTGGGTTTTTTTCACCTGGATCACAGAAAGAACTCATCTTAAATCACATCACAGATCAAAGACTCAACACATTTACATTGTCATAGTCCAGAGTAATATTAGAAACATCGATAATATCAGAGAAATACAACATTTGTTTTTTGTAAAAAATAAAAATAAATCAAGAAATCTACACCTAATCTAACCAACTCACCTCAGTACGCCAAGGCCATTTTGCTTTACCATAGTCATAATCAGTTTCATCTCCTATTCCTATTTTCTTAAGAGAAAAAAGGCACAAGAGTGGCTTGTCGTCAACTATGATTTTTTTCATGGCACAATTTGGATTTTTGTGGTTGTCATTGACTAGTCGTCCGAGAGATCCATCTTCTTCAGATGCATCCAGGCTGAAAAGCATAAGAAAAATTGTTGTAGTTTAAAGTTTTATTGAAAGATGCATTTTCAAAAGAAATTCCTAAGAGTAGGGATGCACGATATTGGGATTTTGGCCGATATCCGATATTTAAAACTAGTGTTGCACCGATACCAGTATCGGACGGGGCCCCGATACTGCCCTAAAATGGTGGTATCGGTAAGTACCAACAAATAGGGCACCGATACCATTTTGAGAGCCATAAGTTTATTCAACTATTGTCACCCATTCCTGGTAGGCAATACAAAGTTCTACTGGATTCACTTTGTATTAGATTTTTTCCTGCTTCACAAAGGTAGGCAGCAGCTTTACAAAGCCATGATGGCAATTATTTTACATTATTATGGTATCGGTATCGGCCGATACTGCACAGCCAGGTATCGGGTATCGGTATCGGGGCCAAAAATGGCATTGGCGCAACACTATTTAAAACTCATGTAGCCGATAACCGATATCGATACCGATGTTAAAGCTGGACAAAAATAAGTAGTCATTGAAAATAGCAGTTTTGTTATCCATTTCTGATCAAATTGATTTTTAAAAACGCGGTATCGATCTATTTTACTTTCAAAATCTGGTGAAATTTCATCGTTCTGTTACAAACTCTCGTGATATTTTGCAAATTCTTGTGAGATTTTGTTAGTAAAATAGATCGATACCGCGTCAATATATCAACATATAAAAATATGGCAACATTTTGTGAATTTTCGGGGGATTTCGTAGCATAACCATGACATATAGCAATATTTCATTATTTCATTAGTAAAAGAGATTGATATGGTGTTTTTAAATGGCAATATATCAGCATATGAAGATATTGGGATATTTTAATGTATCAATATTTTTTCCCTCGTCTTTAGAAGTTTTTAAGTCTGTAAAAAAGAAGTTTTTGAGGAAGAAGAAGTAGTAGTATTTATTTATTTTTTTTTAGACTTTAGAAACTCAGAAGCTGATCAAATATCGGGTTAAATATCGGTGGGGTGGTCGATGTCCGATATTCAGTTTTAAGGCCGATACAGGCCGATACCGATAGGGGGCCGATTATATCGTGCATCCCTACCTAAGAGTATGTGTCTTTTAAAACATTATTCAAATATTAAACCCATGTTTCGGGGTCAAATCAGAATTTCTCCAATCTAACAAAACATCCATCTATTCATGCTTACCACAGGCGATTGTTCCGATACTCAAAGTCAAAGAGAAATGTGCTTTCAATCTCTGAGTATTGTCTTGACCGGCATTCTTCCTGTGTCAGGAGTTTACCCCTATACTCCAAGACAAAGTCCCCTGGTTCAATGGGGTGTGTGGCAAAAACTCCTCTTCCTATAGTAATATAAAATAAGTCAACATTTAATTCTGGGAACTCAAAAAGAAATGCAGCATTCTTTTAAAGTGAGGTTGAGGTTCTTATGTCTCATTGTATTACCTGCAGACAATGCTCAGCACTCTCCAAGTTGTGTTGCTCAGTGTACAGGTAAACTGCTTTTTTGATCAGCCTTTATGTGGCCATCAAATGTTTTTGATGCTGACCCATCCAGATCAATGTATCATTGAGGTCGCGTCTGCTCTATTCTGTTCCCTTTACCTGAGAGTGCTGTGTACCATTTAGTGCAGGCAACACACTAATGAAGCATACGGACATCATACAACTCAGACTTTTGACAGACAGATGTACTGTATTGATCCCAAACTGGGAAATTACAGTGTAGCAGCAGCAAGGCATGGAACTAAAATAGCAATATTTATATATACACAGGTACTACCAAAACAATTAAATAAATCCTGAAAAAGTTCTTTTATTTCTGTAATTCAACTTAAAGAGTGCAATTGACATATCACAAATGCAGACATAGGCAAAGGCTGAGTTGGAATTCAGTGCTAAGCCCCTTTCAGACTTGCACTGGAAAGGGGTAATATTGTGGACTCTGTCCTTTATACCGCAAGTCATCTGTCCTGCTGATTGTACAATTAAGATAAATACAGCTCATCAACAAATGAAATAGGCTGATTATTGACAGAACTGGGTCCTTGTGACACATAAGTCCTGCCTTTTCCTGCATGATGCTGAGTTCTAGTTTTGTTAGCTGTAAAAAGAAACCTTTTTCAACACCATTTTATGCCAAATCATATTCATACTGAACCACAACAAAGTGCAGTAACTGGTGTGATTAATATTCTTAAGCACTCCATTAGGCCGGATGGTGTTGTATTTATTTTCTTTTATTCTTGGAGTATGACTTTCTTCCACAAAACCAAATAAACAAACAAATTTTCATCAAGTTCATTTGGGAATTGTAAATTGACCCAAATAGTTACTGTGGCGAAAAAATTCAAAGCTGGACAGATCTGCATCTTCTCTGATGGAGCATGTGGCCTCCTACATTTCAACAGATTTCAACAACAGCACAGTGGTCATGGCAGTTGATGCTACACAGGCTTGATGTATGTAAAATAACTTTAAAGTTTTTAAAAAAGAAAAGAATTGAAGGAGAAAGTCCAGCTTTTAAAATAAATTCTACATGAATTATGACATTTATTTTTAAAGGCCCCATATTACCAATTGCTTCTGAAATGCACAAGTTGTGTCAAGGAATCTTCTGTCACTTACCTTTACAACTGTCAATGAATCTCGAAATAAACCATCCTTGTCAGTGCAAGACAGAATATATGTCTTTGCGTCATCTATGGGCTTTTTCCTTCTCCTCCTTGTGGACATAATGCTCTGTGAAAAAAATGTAATCATTTAGTCGAGGCAATCTTCCATGAACACCACAAACCTCAGTCTGATGCTCATTTCAGAGTGTGTATTTATATATATATATATATATATATATATATATATATATATATATATATATATACATATATATATATATATATATATATATATATATATATATATATATATATATATATATAAGCAGTTCCGGTGACAGTTAATATAAAAAATATTTTTTGTCTGATTCATCGATTTATATATATATATATATATATATATATATATATATATATATATATATATATATATATATATATATATATATATATATATATATATATATATATATAAGGGCTGCAACTAACAATTATTTTAAAAATCGATGAATCGGCCGATTATTTTTTCGATTAATCAGACAAATCGATGAATCAGACAAAAAATATTTTTTATATTAACTGTCACCGGAACTGCTTATATATATATATATATATATATATATATATATATATATATATATATATATATATATATATATATATATATATATATATATATATATATATATATATATATATATATATATATATATATATATACACACCACAGTGGCCGCTGCCAGCAGGGACTGTGGTGGCAGTCCCTGCTGGCAGCGGCCAGCTCCTAGTTCCATCAAGTTATTGTGACTTTATAAAAGTTTTAATGCAGGATACATCACAATAACATCACAATATAAAAAAAAAAACTATCTACTTAGAGATACTATAAATAAGTTATTTGCCATAAAAAGGCAAGAACAAAAAATAATAAACAAATGAATGAATTAATAAGGTATTATTAAGTTATTTAACAAAAACCGGCTGCTGCAGCCACCAAAACGGTGTCAGTAAACCTGGGTGTCGCTCGGGAAGCCTACTGACAGGACAGCCGGACCAATTTGTTAAAGTGAGAAGGATTTGTCCCCTTCAAAGTAAAGGCTGTAACGCCCCGGGGCCTCATCACACGGTTCTTTTCCTGGGAGCAAGTTATTTACTACTCTTAACTCAAACTCGTTAAAACCATATAAAAAAGGACTATAAAAACAGGAGTAAAAAAGTAACAGAGTTTATTCCAAATCAGGTCGTTACAGGACAGAGAAAAATGTTTCGAGCTATGCACAGCTGTGGTCTCAAAAATCACGTCCGCAAGCGTCCGGCAAAGTTTGAGCCCCGATGAAGGTCATCACCTGCTTCTTATACCTTGTGAGTCTATGTGTTGCATCATGTGGATGCTTAGCTGTCCGTATCAGAAACTGACACGCCATCCATGTCTTGAACTCCATGCAGGTTGCCTCTCTGTCTCAGGGTTACAGATACAGCAGCTCTCCTATCAGACCGGGTCCAAGATGTGCCCATATTCTGTGTACTCTTAGAGACACGAAGGGTGTCTTGATAAGA